GTGGTCAATGCACAGCAGTGCACCTGCGTGGTTTCTGCCAACCAGCTCCACCTGACCAGCATCCACTCGCATGTATCACCAAAGTGAGTGGTCACATCAGTAGGAAGGGCACCACGACTGCAGGTGACTGATGAAACGAGGAACAGGCCCTTCAAAGTCTGCTGAGATCTTTATACGTAATGACTCTTGGCAAGGGATCGTGCTCTAGTTCCTACTGAAAAAAATAAAGGAGCCTTAGTAAAAAAACTCCTTTGTTGTTGGATTAAGATACACCGGGTTGAGATAAATGCAGAATTTGGAGCTGAAAGGTTTAAAATAGACTTTATTTCAACTTCTACAGACAGAACTGAAGACTATTTCTGTCAACCTGAGTCTGAAGAAGAAGCTTAGAATATGGAGGCTGAAAGTGAGGAAGAAATCAACAGTAAGGAAGACATCCTAACATTGTGAAGAATGGGTGATGTATAAAAACTGAAAGCCAACAGCAATAAAACAGAAGAAAATTAAAGTAACCTCCAACACAGACAAATCATTAGTGATTACTTGTAAACAACGCACAATGAATTCAGAGCTTTCACTAATGATCATCAGATTACTATAACCCAATATTAAGACCTAATCTAGCAAACACAACGCAGAGGGAAGTAGGACCGTAAGGTATAGCAGTGGGACTGATACACAAGTGGTCCCTAATGAATACTTCATTAGTACCTCCATACATAATTATCAGTTTTTAAAAAGCAGCAACTGAACACACAGGGAGCTGCAACATCAGTTGAAAAATAGGATTTCTTTTTTTAATTCTAAATTAAGCAGCAAAGTCCCTTTTTTTTCCCTCCAAAGTGCTGGTGGAGAACTTTGCTTTTGCTACTAGTGTTAAGATGTCCCTATGCTGATGGCCAACAATGAATAAGCAGGCTATCGTGACAGAATGTCATGTCATACCAAAGGCTAAACTCACTTGCTAGCATATTTTAACACATGATTTTCTCATAATAAACAGACAATAGTGATAAGACAACCAATGGATGAAACAAAACGCACCAGCAGAGTTATTATGGAAAAACAGTACAAAAGCTCCAATTCTTTTCATAATTTTAACACAACTTGCTATTTGTTGACAACTCGTGCGTTAGTACAACAAACCTGATGATCTTACAGTTTCTGAAGGTTTGTACCCTCCAAAGAAAGAACAGGAAGGGAAAAAAAACCTCAGAAGCAGCTTCAGAAAACAGAAGTCAGAAATAGCCAAGCAGATAAGACTTTTAAGGTCCAAGATGAAACATACCAACTATATAAAGATACTCGGAGTAAGCAGAAGTATTTCAAAGACTTAACACCACATTAGCTAGAAAATAAGTTTTCTTACCTGTTTGGTAATAACAAAAATAAAGATTACAGTGGACAATGAGAAATGGGAAAGGAACAGTGCCCATATTGGCTATACACACTGGCATCACATTTTCTCTAGCTCTCAGAGGAATAAAAGCTCAATTTGCTCTTTTGTCACTAAATACAGATGGGAATCAACAGATACCCTTAAAGAACGTAACCAGCTACCACACAGTATGAAAACCACTTTCTGCAGACCATTCTGATCTCTTGCAAATTCACACTGTCAGTTTATAGTCACTACATCTAAAGATACTTGCTTTGTCAGTTCTAGTCTGCACACATTGCTCATGACAATGTAGCTGCTGTGGACATGCTAACTTCCAAACTGCAACAGAAGAGTAGGAATCACAAAAAGGCATTTTACACATTCCTATAACAACGTGAACTCTGCTTGATAACAACTAAAAATAATGTGCTCCATTGATAAACTAAAACCAGAATGCATGATTTCCCAAGCTCTGTGTAGTTATTTCGTGCCTAGAAACTAAGAATGAAGAAAAGCATGCAGGTGAAATCACACTAAGGCAAACACTGGAACAGTTCCTCTGCTCTGCCCTTCCAGCCTTAAGATGTCAACAAGGCCCTCTGTTTTGTACGTATGAGCAGACCAATTATTCTTTTAAGCACATCTATCCAAAGGCTTGATTCTAGAAATCATGGCAGATGCCCTTAAACTGTTATTTAAAACACAGACTTCTGAGATGGCTTTTACCAAGACATGAATTTTTCATAATCTGTCACGCAGCGCAAGCTAAGCAGCTCAGCCTACTCTCTGAACCATAAGTGCTGTTTTGTGTTAGCCCCAGTAAAGGATGGAAACTGCAGAAGAAGCTGAGCAAGTATTTTGGCACCATCAGCACAGGTGAACGAATGTAAAAATCTGTTGAAGCAGTGTGAAAAACATCCAGCCAACATGACTGCTTCTCTCATGAAGCATCTTGCAGATGTGGCACTGAGGAACACAGCAGGCATGGCGGTGACAGGTCAATGGCTGGACTAGGCAAACTTCGTGGTCTTTTCCAACCTTAATGATTCTATTACGGCTGTTTAGATCTCAGCTTAAAGAGAAGACTTTCAGTGTGGAACAGCATGTATCAGCACTCAGAGTTACATATCATGATGCCTGCACATAGGAGGCACAGGTCCAGCCTTCCTGCTCTCTTGATGCAGAGGTGACAGTGACATTTCTAAAGACTGGACATTCTTACCTAAGTCAATTTCTACATAACTTTTTTGGTACAGCAAGACTTGTTTTTCAAAGGAGTACATTTCAGAAAGAATCAGGCCTCAAAATGGACTTGTGTTAGCAGCCATTAAGCCAATAACTGTATGAGTTTTTGCTCTGTGCTAAAACCAACTGAATCTCATGAAGTTGCTCACTAAATACATGCAATCATAATTTGATAAATCAGCTTCTAACACTGGTAAATCTACTTGGTGCCAGAAAGGTGTCTGCATTCCCACTTGGCCAACCACGTCCGCCCACAAACAGCTCATTCAACTGTCAGCCCAGGCCAGAGCCAGGTTTCCACCTCACCACTACAAATCTAAGCAAGCCGCCACAAAGATTGGACAGGCTGAGAACACAGCAACGTGAGCCAACATAAACCACTCTTGTTTCTGTGCATCCACACAGACGTTCTACTGAAGAACAGCGTGACAAATTTCGATGAAAGAGAATCTAAACTACAAGACCTGTGTGAATGAAATCAAACATGAGAAGGGAACGTGCACAAAGTGCTTGACAGTGGATCTCCCTGGTTACCAAAGAGTGGTGCTCAGCTAGAGCCAAAGTGACAGACATGCAAATAGGCACCCCATAATGGCTTCCACCAGGAATAAACTCCTTCAGAGAAGACACGAAGCCACACAAGCCACATGACACAAGATCAAAAACCATCTCTGAATCCTCGATCACCCATTCCACCTTTTTCCACTTGTCCACTCTCCATGAATGGCTGACAGCACATGAATGGCTGACAGCAACGTGTAAACAGACATTAGTGCTGTTATCAGATGCACCTCTTGTTAAAACCAAGACCAAAGCCACAGGAGGCGTTTGAGAGAAATTCAGCACCTCGAGGGTTGTTTCACACACTGTGCCGTGCCCAATGTCAGCCGAAAAAGGACTCGTAGGAGAAAGGAGGGCAACATGCAGACACGCACACAGCTAAGATGGAGCAGCGCGCCTTACAGCCAGCCCACACCGAAGTTTGTCGGGCAAGGGATGCTGAGGGGTCAGCAGTTCAGCAGCAGCACCTGCGGCACTTCCATACAGCGGTGCTCCACGCATCCCTCCTCGTCCTCCTCGTGAGGGCAAGGAGTGACAGGGAGGGCGGCACCGTCGACCTTCAGACCTCCCACCGTCACCGGAGCCCTAAGTTTAGTCCCCCACCGCTTTCTCTCATCCCGGATACCAACGACTCCGAATCGCCGCGGGCTAAGAGGGCACGGAGCGGCCGAGGGCCCCGAGCCGCGCTCCCGCTCCCCCCCCAGCGGAGGAGCCGGGCCGCCGAGCCGCCGCCCCCCTGGGAGGAGGGGTGCGGGAGAGCAGGGGACGTGGGGGGGCGAGAGGGGGAAGGGGGGGGGGGGGTCCGTCCGCCGCCGCCGCCGGGAACAAAGGGCCCTGGGCTGAGCCGAGCCGTAGAGCACAACAAAGGGGCCCGGAGACCGCGAGACGCGGGGCGGCAGCCGGGGAGGAGAGAAGGCGGGGGCAGGGGAGCGCGGGCCGGCCGAACGGCTCCGGGCGCAGGGGGCGGGCCGGTCGTCCTCAGCGTCAAGCGGGAGCCCGGCCCGCAGCGCGAGGGGCCGCCCGGCCCAACTGCCCGCGGCCGACCGCCGCCCCGGGCCAACGGCCGACCGCTCCTTCGGAGAGAGCGCCGCTGCCGCCGGGCAGAGCCCCGAGCTGCGCCCCGGCATCGGCAGCCTCCCGCAGCCCGCTCGGAGCGGGGGAAAGGAGAGGAGAGCGGCCTGACCTGGCAGAGCTGCTTGCAGTACTCGGTGGCCGCTTGCACGGCGGGCTCGGCGCTCTCCCGCAGCCCCGTCTCAAGCTCTAGCAGGCGCTCCCGCAGGCGCCGCAGCTCCAGCAGGTCGCCGCCGAGGCCGCCGCTCTCCTGCTCGGCCTCCTCGTCCGCCATCTTCGCACCCCGCTCCGTCGCGTACGCAGCCCCCCCTCTCGCCGCCTCGGCCTCCCGCCCCCCTCCTCGCTCGGCTATGCGTCACGTGATTACACAATGCCACGTTCCGGGGAGGGGTCACGTGCCGGAGAGGACGGGCGGGGAGGAGCGCGCGCGCACTACCCATCCCCCCGCGGCGCGGGGTTCGGCCGGGGAGGGGCGAGAGCGGGCAGGGAGCGCGCGCGCCTCCGCGCGTCACGTGACGCCACGCCACGCCCCCTCCAACTGCCGCGTGGCCACGTGACGGCGCTCCCCGCCCTTCTTCCGACCAGTTTTGGCGGTAAATGGCGGTGGTGGCGGCCTCGCGGCTTCCCTCGAGCCTCGCGGGCAGCGATGGCGGGCGGGCGGCTTGGCGGCCTGGGTGTGTGAGGGCTCCTTCCGCCTAGTCAGCTGCTGGTACCGCCTGGCTTTAAGTGCGGTCCTTCATTTCTTGTGCACCATGTTGAGTGCTCTTAACAGAGCGGGAAGTTGCAGGGGCTGACCTCCTTAGGGTAATCCCTTCTCCTCCTGAAGTTAGCAGAGGGAAAATTACATAGGTTTGCATGTATCCCTCACCGCCAAGCTGCATGTTACATACCCAGTACTAATAAGCGATGCAAATACCAGGAACAACTGCACAAAAGCTTACTCATTCTTTATGAATACCTTATTCATATGAGCAAGGATAGTGTGTCCTCCGGATAACTCTTCCAGTTCTACTTTGCGTTATTCACAGTTTAATTTCAATTAGGTTCACTTACAGGTAAGCCACAACAGCCAAATGCGTATTCATGGGTGCAGTTGTTTTTGTTTGCTGCCTCACTTCCTCCTTCCCCAGAGGGTTTTCAGTGTTGAGCCTAGGCCAGGAAGGAGAAACCGGCAATGTGAGGTTCTTAAACAAAAGATTAGCATGTAGAGGTGGTAGAGTAAGGACTTTGTTTTGTTCTCATCAGGATCAAGTGGAAAGAAGCCTGTCCTTCAGCTGTCCTACTCCAAACAGGACTTGCACAAAGGCCTCCAGGGAGCGTTCCTGTCTTTAATCACACACAGTTCAGAGGCGGTTAATTGCTAGACTTCCACTGTGGAGACCAAAGATGGAGTTAGTAAGTAGAAGGAAAGACCACAAACGGCCTTTTATTCTTGCTTGACAACAATGAAAATATGATGACTGCTACTGAGGAAGTGTAGCAGTATCCTAAAAAGAGGTTTTTCAATACTAGGTAAAGAGCTGTAATGCTCGTCCTGTTGTTGAATCCTAACAGAAGATAGAAAGGAATATATACGATCATAGAATGGCCTGGGTTGAAAAGGACCACAACAATCTACAAGTTTCATCCCCCCTGCTATGTGCAGGGTCACCAGCCACCAAATCAGGCTGCCCAGAGCCACATCCAGCCTGGCCTTGAATGCCTCTAGGGATGGGGCATCCACAACCTCCTTGGGCAACCTGTTCCAGTGCGTCACCACCCTGTGTGTAAAAAACTTCCTCCTAATATCTAACCTAAACCTCCCCTGCCTCAGGTTAGAACCATTCCCCCTTGTCCTATCACTCTCCGCCCTCGTAAAACCTATGGAAAGGAAGTGAAGTACAGATGCCTGAAGATGACAGGAGCAAAAGAGATACTACAGAGAAGGTAGGCTTTACAGATACCTGTCTTCTTCACAAATCTGTGGGTTAAACAATGAGACTGTGAAAAAAATGTGAATATAAAGCTTAGGAGACTGACAAGGGAAATATACAATTAAGCATTTGTTGTGCTGGAATATAAGCAGGAGAGGCAGAAGTGTCTGGAGGGAGAAAGGGCAATGAATCCATGGAGGAGAAGAGTCCAAGGAAGAAAAATGGGATAGAGACACTGAGAAACAACAGGAAAAAGGTGTTATACTAAGAATGGAAAGACCCGAGTTTTATACCAGCATGAAGATGAAATTTCTTGTTAAGAAGAATTGACAGGCTTATTACTGGAGGATGCCAGAAATAAAGATTTAAGATGAGAACTTATAATGGTAAAGATTCCTCATTGTCAAAAATTCATTTGGGATTCAGGTATGCTCTCATCCACTCTTGCCACTTGACTGACTCAGTACATACCCACAGTATGGTGCTTTCCTAACTCCATGTTTCACTTCCCATGCCTCAGAAAAATCTGTCATTAAGAGAATGCATGTCTTACAGATCTTCAGGTACTTCGGTTGTATGTTTTGAGATGCAGATTGTGGCTGGAGACAAGGTTGTCTTATGAAAAATAACAATGAGAGTGCTTTCTAAATTGTATATAGCTGGCACCTAGGAGGAGGACTATCAACTCTTCCAGGGAGAATGTCCTGTTAGTGACATAGGAACAGCTACAATGTTTATATATCTCTGGAACCCAAGCAACAAAACTGGAGTTACTAATTCTTAAAGGGTACCAGGAGATATGGCAGAGTAGAATTTAGGACAGGAACGCAAATAAAAGACACTGAAAACTTTTACCTGTATAACACTTTTAAAGTGTTATACAGGTAAAATCAATTGATTGAGGATTAAAATTTGCAATGTGATAGATATTTAAGAAAGAAATAAACCTGATAGAAAAGTTAAAGAAGAACTTGTTTGAGTCAATATTGGAGAAAGATGGCAAAGAGTTTCTATTAGACGAACGTGTGTGCTAGAGACGTTTTATTTTAAGTCTGGAGAGAAATACTTTTCATAAGATTATTAGGAAAATTATTCACTTAGAGCAGAGCCAGGTTAGTAACAGTTTTTTAATTAAAAAGGTCAAATGATGAAATTAAGGGAATGAGTTAGTGGTGACAGTGCCATTTAGGTGGTTGTGGACTTGCATGTGGGGAAGGCTTGGCATCGGTAAAGTGTCTGCAAAAAATAGTATCTGAAATTCATATCTCAAAGTAGAGGGATGGTTGGTCACAGCTGTGTAAATAGCTTCTTCAGAAGGGTTATTGAGAACAATCAGAAGCTTGAAGGGAATGGAACAAAATGATTGCTTATAAAAGTATTAAGGAGGGTAAGAGTAAAGTGAGAATTGTCAGAAGCCCAGCTGAGTTTCCTTACAAAGGAAATTAAAGCAGAGGCTAATGAGAAAGAAGATATGAAAATGAATGTTTCCACATTGGAGATGAAAGCAAAAAACCTATCGCATACCCATCTGAGACATCAGAAGATATTTATTCAGCCAGAAATTTCCATTAATGATGTAGGTACAAAAATATGAGCTGTAATAATGAAATTTGCTGATGACACAAAATAGCGAGACACTTTCAATAAGAGAGGGATCGAGATTGGATGACCTTGAAATCCTAAATAATACAATGGGATTAATTTTCAAAATGTAAAGTACAGGGAGACTGATAGCAGGCAGTACTTTCTTCACAGGGGAAATGCATCAGTTGGAGGTGACAGTGAGTGAAGGTGTTCATTGTATTAGTTGACATTGTCCAAGTCATATATGTGTGCTCTGTCTACCAAGAAAAAAAAAAGCTTGTAAAATCACATGGCTTGACAGGTCAGATATTTCCGTTAGATACTGCAGGTAAAAATAAAACATCTAGCTCATCTGAAACAATTTGTGCTATCCTGGGCGCTATTGGTCAGAAAAGATTAGATTGCACTGCAGGAGGTACAGAGAAGGGCATGAGGGATTATAAGTAGGACGGAGAATCTCTTTATGAGAGGAGAATATAAATCGTTCTTTTAGCTCAGTGGAATAAAACATAAAAAGAAGTGTGATTTTAGTCTAGAAACACTAAAATGTCAGTACAAAAGCTTTTCAAGCTGAAGGATGATACTGGGTGAAGAAAACTGCCAAAACATTGGAACAAACTTAACTATCGTCTTGGACAGTGCACGCTGCTGTTTCCAAGGTGCCAAATTTGTTTGTCCACAGCACTATAAAAGAAACTTTGTGAGGCAATCAAACAGTAGCTTTGTGCAAGGCAGCAGTAGAAAAGATCTGATGAAAACTGAGTACATATGAGACGTGAATTCTGAAAGGAGGAGAAAATAAATCCCGTGTATTTATATCTTCCTTATTGATACTGGCTGCGGCCATTTTCACCCATGTTTGAAATCACCTGTGTAGGTTTATATAGCCATATTTTACAGTGATTGAAGCAGTCTAAATATTCCCCAACAGGAATAAGAAAACACGTGCAGAGCACGGTCTATAGGTTGTCTCTACCATCAGCCGGATGAGGGAAAGGAAAATGTTTTTGCAGATTTCAGATTGCATGGAGAATCCATCTTTCCAGAGGAAGGGAATTACTGAAGAGGGAGGACAGCGCATTTCAACACTTGCTCAGATCTTGGATTGAGCTGTTTTCTCAGAAAAGAGTATCTGAAGTTAGTTTTAGAGCTGTCTGAAAAGAAGGGGAGGGGTTGCATTCTCTTTTTAAGTATTTTAATAATAACTTTAATACTATTACCTGCAATTAATGCTGCTTTTCTAGCTTTCCATTGTCTTTTCTGTTTATCATTTTCCATTGTTCGCTGAGTGATGTACATTGCCTGCATGTTCAATAGGTTCTTGCAGAGTTCTAGCTGTAAACTGAACGAATTACTGAAAGAAATGCTGTCCTGGAGACTGACATGTTTTCCCATCATTGTGCTATTTTCTTCATTCCCTTCCCCTTTTGCAAGATAAGCATTTAAATTAGGATGGCTCCACAGAGACCTTTTTTTTCTTTCATTTTACATTTTGTATATATGAACTGGATCTTTTTTGTGAGCACAGGAAAAAGAGCTTCACTGGGCATCAGGATAGGACATTTCTTGAGAAAACTTTGGGGGGAGGAAGAGGATGTTTAAAATAATGACCGTCAGTATTCCACTTAAGCTGAAGGATGCAGGTGTGAGACCAATTAAAAGAAATTGTATTTGCTTATATTCATTTTGGTCTGCCTTTTGTATTCCCTTAATTTGCATTTTAGCTCCTTTATGATCAATTAAGTAGTGACACACACAGCTAGTAGTGGCACACAGCTCTTTGCTGTGATGAGGCAGATAAATGCTTTTCGAGAGTGCATTTTACAGTAACAGCTATTTTTAAAAAGAATGTCTTTGAATTTTATTTTTTTCAGTGAATAAATAACTGGGCATCTTTGGTGTAATACAGATCCGTGCGTCCACAGAAGGAAAAAAAAGGTGCATCCTGCAAAGGGCAGGCGTAGGAGAAGGCAGAGGGATGGATTTTAAACAAGGGTGGTGTAAGTGCCCTGTAATTCCTTACCCTTCTCTTGCTGATGATGAACTGCATGTACTGCCTGTTACAGCAATATTGATTGCAATCAGGTGATGAAGCCGTTGCACAGAGAAAGAAACCACTGCAGTGAAAATGAAAAGATGGAAATGTAATGAATTCTTGATTCAGAAATGATTTATTGGAATAAAATGAAAAAGTCGTTCTTAGAGCTGAGAGGTAGTCATGGGAATAACAGAAATGCTGAAAGAATATCACCATTTTAAAATAAAATCTATTTCAAGCTATATATTTATCTTCAACAGCATTCCCGCACTTTTCATCAACATTCCTTATACTGCAAATTTTCCTCTCTCGCAGCCTTAGCTTTACTTACAATTAATCCACTGGCATTATAGTGATGGAGATTCTTGCTGGAATGCATTAACTTCCTCCTTTAAATCCCCCCTGAGGCAAAGCACTTGAAAAATATTTCCTTTGTCTAGGACACACAGTTTAGTAGCTCTCTTCTTACAGTGAGATAGCGATTCTTTTGCAGTGATTTATGCATACTATTGAAATACAAAAACTGCATTAAGTTATGCTGCATTAAAAGATCTGAGACACGCATTCCATTACTTAGGCGCAATTGCAAAAAAAATGTAGGTCTGATCCTGTTGCCGTTCAAGCCCATGCTTTCAAAAACACTGAATTGAGATGTAACGTTATTAGGAGTTGAGTAATTGCTCACCTACAATGCCAAGAGAATTACCTTTCAAACTCACTGATGACTATGTACACACATGCACCTTTTTTGTTTTTATTAGACGAGCAAAGTTGCTGTGTGCTCTTTCAAGAGAATTGGAGTCGGGGCTCCTGGAGGGAAGATTCTGCAGGCTCTGAAATAGCCTGTTTTAATGCTCAGCAATCCCAATTGTTTGAATGTGTTTGTAATACCTAACTCAAACCTCTGCTGCAAATGGATCTGATCTTTCTCCTTCCTTTAGCTGTTACGGTGGAACAACGGCCACCGAAACTTTTATGACAGCCATCTGCACTTTGAAGTGCTGCTATAATGTTCCACCTTAATCCCTTCATTTCTAAGTTTACAGCTTTATTTCTAAGCCGTCCAATCCTTATTCCTTCAGCTGTCCTCACTGTTGCACTTTTGCCCCTTGGTGGATCGTCATCGTCTTCCTCAGCGTACAGTGACTGATTCTGAGCACAACGCTGCTCTTGCTGGGTCTTGCCAGAGCTGAGTAAAGTGGAGTAATTACTCTTTGTATCATACATCACAGTGTTGACTCTTCAGTTTGTGATCTCCCACGTTGTTTTCTGCCTACACAGACATTTCATATTCTGTATTTAATTTTCGTTCCTCATTAGATATCCCTTTGAAGAGCGGACCACTTCATAATTTTCTGTTTTATATCTCATCTGGTTGATTCTGGTTGATT